GCGGTTACCTTAACGATATTTTTACGATATTTAGACGAAACCGGGACGATCTCGTTCTCTTGATTTTTGTGTTTAAATCTCTCCTCCAGAGATGAAAAATTTTTTTTAGCGATATTCGTAATATCAGCTTTATTAGCAACAATTATTGAAGGTCGTGATGTAAGGCCATTTTTATATCGTTCAAGCTCGTTTTTCAAAATTTCAAAATCTTCCCAAGGTGCTCTGCTCGACAAATCAATGACGTAAACCAGAATTTTAGATCTCTCTACATGTCGGAGAAATGAATGTCCTAATCCAATGTTTCTGTGAGCACCTTGAATGAGTCCTGGTATATCTGCGACTTTTAACTGAAATCTATCAGCATAATCTATAGTACCAATATATGGATTAAGTGTAGTAAAAGGATAAGGCGCGATTTTAGGGTGAGCATTAGACACTGCCGTTAAAAATGTACTTTTTCCAGCATTGGGGAGCCCAACTAAGCCCACGTCTGCAATAGTTTTAACCTCAAGCTCAAGATATTTTTCTTGTCCTTCCCTTCCTCGTGTTGCAAACTTTGGTGAACGATTGGTGTTTGTTATAAATTGCGGGTTACCTTTACCACCAACACCTCCATGTGCTACGATGTATTGTGTATATGGTACGGAAATATCTAAAGAGAGTTTGTTTCTAGATTCTTTTCTTTTTTGAAATTGATGGAATCGTTCTTCTTCCTCCATCATCTTCTTGGCCTCAAGAAAATGCTTATTTTGTGCATTCTTCTCATCATGAAATGGATAATGAACCCACAAGTCAACTTGAAAATTTTTATCCTCTATTAAATATTCCTCCTCTTTATCTAATAATTTTTTTTTTGGTGGTGGTGAAACCTCTCTTACGATTGTTCCTAGCGGCACAGTCAATATGACATCTTTTCCTGAAGAACCATGTTTCATACCTCCTTTGCCGTTTTCGCCTCTGTTTCCAACTGGGTTTTTCCTGATGGAATGCAAGGAAGAGTAGTTTGGGTTCGCTACTATTATTATGTGACCACCTCTACCTCCGTTGCCTCCGGAAGGAGGACCCCGAGATTTAAATCGTTCGCGATGAAATGCGACACACCCATCACCCCCGCGACCCCCTTTAACTTTGATGCGCATGAAATCAATAAACAACCTTGTCTTGTCTCTTAATTTATATTGTAA